CAAGTATGCTTTCTATACTGTAATCTTGTGTATTATTGAGGGATTAGTGTTGTATGATACATCTTGATATTCATGTATATATAAATCTTGATTATTTCATGGTTTGTATGGTTTAATGCTTCTAATTGACTATTCTATTCTATCCATATGTCTATGTATGCTAGAGTAGGATATTCATGTGCTTATCCCTAGATTTAGTGTTTTTGATGCATGTCTATGTGTATTGATGCTATAGATCTAGAGATTATCAAGATGATATGCTTAATGAATGCTATTTTGGTTCATTTGATGGTTTATGCCTATTCTTGATGGTTTGTGCCTCTCCCCTAGTCTAGATAGCTTTATTTTCATGCTAGTAGTGTAGATTTAGTGTAGTGGTAGTGTAATGTTAGATGGGAGGACAATCTACTCTTGATGTTTGATGTTCCATGCTTGTGAGTCCAAATGGCATATTCCTCTAATATTGTGTTATATGTGGATTGTGAGCTTAATGAAGGATTAATGACTTGTTTTGATCTATTGTGCTATCCCCATGTTGTCTAGACAATATATGCTCTATTGTTTAGATATATTGTGCTCTTCACATGATGTTTAGACAATAATTGCTTGATTTGTCATCCTTGCCAATTGAATCAACCTAATGCACACACACCCTTATCATATTGCAACACATCCATTACCCTCAATTGATCACTTGTTAGTAGTATAGAAAAGTATTGTTTGGTGGTGATCTCTACACCCCAAGACCTCTCTCTCTCTTGTTTACTTTATATTATTTTATTTAGTTGAATTCAATTTAGCTTAATCAACCAACCAATCAATTGTGTGATCACTCGACCTACTAACCCTAATTACCATAGTTTCACAATTCGATACACCATCAAATCCCTTGGGACGATCCCTACTCGCCCTATCTATATTTTATATAGAGAAAGGTAGTAGTGGCTTTCTATAAATGTAAAACTTGGCCACCTCCTAAATTCACAACTCTTCAAGCTTGACTTGGTATCGTGACCCTTGTAAAGGACCGGTCAGGATGATTTGGTGTTGGGTCTATTGTGCTCTCTGGTTCAGGAGGGGTAGTAAGTACAACAGGATCAATTGAGTCTACGCCTTGAAAGTTGAGGGAAATAAATTTGTAGGAACCAAGAAGGTTGCATACAAGCTGGTTGGAGTCTACAGTCTTAGTGAAGTAGATGTATGATGACCACCAAGTCTCAAAGTCTGGAGTAGTATGTGGTTCTTCCACAAAGGGCTTGTAATGAAATTCTTGGAGGCACTGAGTGAATCGGTTGGTTACATCCTGAAATTGTTCATTGTTTGAAAGATTGACCTGCCGATGATAGTTTTTGTTATAGTGGGGTGGTACCGGGATCATTTGGGTCAATCCGAATTGCCTAGCTAGCTGAGCTGGATTATAAAATTTTACCCCAGTACGGCTCTTTGGAAGATGAAGAGCAACTGTATTATAAGGAATATCCCTAGCAGTCAGGAAGTGACCCCAAGAGTTGTTGTAAAGTTCAACCTGTTCTATTGAAGACTCGGTAGTGGGAGGAAACAGCCAGGATGGAGCTAACTGACACTTAGAAAAAGGAAGAAATTGAGATGGAGTCTTGATTTTACATTAATGATAGAAAAATTGAAAACAATCATTGAATGAATGATCTTTGGGCTTTATTTTGGCATACCCAAATGAAAGTAAGGGGTCACTAGTACCAAGCCGAATGGGGGGAGCTAATTCGGGGAAGTATGCATGAAGCCAGAATTGATAAAGCCAAAGGGGGCCTCCAGATCTTGAAAAATTAGAGGTAATAAGATCAGATAGACTTCTATATAAAGAAGCTAAAAGAAACGGAGCTAAGGCCATGGGCTTTCCTTTGGATAGTGCAATGGGTAATTGGGTAAGATCTTTAGTGATTTGGATAGCAGGGGCACACAGTAAATACCTACATAGCCACAATAACAAAAAACCTATGTGCTCTTGTTCGTCTACTTCAATTCCCTCTTCCCCCAACATTTCTTTTAAAAATAGGCCATGCAACTGTATAAAGGGTTTAGATCATTTTTGCTCTGGGAAATAAAAGGAAGTGTCTTCATCATAAAAGAGATAGTTGATCTCATCCCCTCCAGGTTTTAAACCAGTTAAAAAGCAGACATCCCTCAATGTGGGGGACATCATGCCGCAGTGCAAGTGTAGTGAATTGGTCGAGGGGGACCAAAAGTGTAGAGAGGCAAAGAATAAAGCTCGGTCAAAAGGAAGAGGAATCTTACTGAGATGGATGAGGTCATAAATACCCATCCTTTTCCATTGATCTCCTTTCGCAGCAGACACACGATCCACCCACTCGTTCCATTAGAGCATTGGCGGATGCCAATTTCTAACGGAAAGAGTAAGTCTGTCCCCTTCTGCTATCAGGTAAAGAGGTTTAGAGAAAGGGAGATGTTGCTCGGCCTGTAGATAAATCGGCAATAGAGAAGGAGGAAATCGGTTCAGAAATGCTGGGCCAAGCCCCTTAGCATTTTCGGAGACATCGATCAACGTGATAATATCCAGTTCGTTATGGTCTAGGGTTTTGATCGTTGATTTAGTAAGTTGGGTATGTGATGTTGCCTCTGGGAAAGGGGATTCCAAATTCAGATCACTCTGTTTTGGTAGTTTTGAAGCCATGATTGAAGGAAAGAAAAGACGAAGTTGTAGAGAAATTTTGGGAGTAGAGTACTTTGGTAGAAGCGAGTTTGATTTGAGGAGAAGCGTTTGGTTTTCGTGAATGAGAAAGAAACGTGAAGTAGAGGGATATCAAAGGGTCAGCTGTATTATTAATGGCTGAAAGGATAGGTTAGTGCATGCAGCAGTTTTTGGAAGTCCCAACAATCTTGATTCTTAGGAGATTATATGGTATATTCATGTTTTAACATAATGGGTGTTGTTTGAATTTTAGAAGCCGAAGGGTTAAAACGGTTACCAAAATTGAGGGGCATTGTTGACACCCATTTTGGTATTTAGGCCATTAAAGTATTTGGGCCATAAAGGTATTTGGCCTGTAAAGATATTGGGCTGGAGGCATGCGTTGTTGGGTTAAACAATGGAGTTAGGTGGAGACCGAATTGCGGTTTGGTAAGGAATTGGTTTGGTGTATGGGCCAATTGCAAGGTGGGACTCGAATTGTTGTTTGGTAAGGAGTTGGTTTGGTAGATGGGCGAATTGTAACATGAATTTTGAAGGAAACTAGCGTGTAAGGATTGGGATGAATTTGAAAATGGATAAGGATTGCAGTTTATGGTTTTATCTTTTGGTTAAGGTTAGCTAAGTATAGTTTATTAGCAACTTAGTTTGTTTTAGTTTAATAATTAGGCTATCGATGAATTTGATTTGGATTTAGTAGTTAGTTACGTGATAGAGTTGTAATGCAAGTATATAGGAATTTGTTTTACGTAGTTTTCTATAAATAATGCTATAGGCATGCTTTGTAAGAGGTCCAGCACCCTCAGAATCAATTTATTATTTTGTTTGCTTTCTCAAGCACTTTCCTCAAATAACATTGCTATATCTATCTCTCTCCCTCTCTATTTCAATCTCGTTCTATTTCTCTCCCTATATCTTTTTCTCCCTATCTCTTCTCCCTATCACTTTCTATATCTATTTCTTCCCTTTTCTATTATCTTGTTACATTACTATAAATTGTTAATGGAAAGTCCTTTTAACTAAGGTATTTTTGAACCCAAAAGAGGAATTTATTTGTTCCCTTTTTCCTCGCATCGTCTGAGAGTCAACTTTCTCAAAGGAACTAACGTTGACTATTTACAATCGAACCACACAAGTGGTTCTGGCACGCCCGACTTACATCAATTTGAGATCGGCTCCATAAAGCCGATTTTAGGGTCAACACTATGTTTAATTAGGAGTGTCAATTCCACCATTTAGATTTGAAATTGGAAAAAAATTAATTAAAATTTTAAAATAAATTTTCTCAAGCCTTAAATTTAAAGTATCAATTCAGTACTGCCAAACACAACACGAAAGAAAATTTTGAATATCAGGGGATCTAAACATAAATACAAATAAAAGAATTACAAAATACATAAATGCAAATAAAAGTTCAACAATGAAGAAGAAAAGAACTTTGAATTCACAAAGAAAGTGCCTTGCAAACTGGAAAGCCCTCATTCTCTGGTGTTCTCTTTTCATCGGAAGGCAAATATTGAATTCAACACCATGTGCTTGACTGAAAGATAAGAAAAAATAAATAAATAACTAGCACGCTCATGTAGCTTTTTAATTCTTACTCAAAATTAACAAACAAATCCCAACAAAACAGAATTTTTCCAAAAGATCCAATGTCTTAACATTCAAACATATAGCTAGATATTGCACAGGAAAGAAACGAGAGAGAGAGAATGGACTGACATGATAGGAATTGAAGAGAAGCAATAACATCAAAATCAAAACTTAGTGGCTTCAAGGGCTATGAATCATGGGGCAATATTGTTCAAGAATGAAGACAATTTATTTGATAGCTCCATGTCACAATTGGCTTCTTCGAGTGCGACCATGGTCTGCTCCACTGTGAAACGATCACTCCCATCTCAACAATGGAATGAAATGGTGTCCATTGTATAGTTGTTGGGGAAGCCATATCATGCTGATCATCACTACAACACAAACAATGGGACGAATACTGGAAATGACTCGTATGTTTCTCTGATTGATCACTTGGTGATGGCGATTTGAGACAACCTTATCAGCTACCCGACATGAATTGGAACTCCTAGGATGAATTTTTTTTTTTTTTTTTTTTTCCGTGATTGATGGGTGTGACTATACATCTTATATATATATATATATATATATATATATATATATATATATAGCTACAAAAGATGTATATAGGTGCATACCAATATTCATCTCGGAAGAATTAGTTGAAGCTAATCAAGACTCTGGGAGTATTAGTGTTCACGAGTGATGCTAGGATGCTGGAATCGGTTTTTTGACGTGCTCATCAAGACTCTCGAGGTATACATGTATGCTGAAGACCCCTGAACTTTTTTTTTTCTTCAGGATAATAGATGGCTATCCTTAGGCCGTCGTCAACTATCATCGCGACTTCATCACCTTTCTTCGTAGCACACAATGGCATCACATAAACTAGATGTGTTGGTGTTACTCTCACCAAATGAGGGATGACAAATAACTTAGTCCAAGAATTCTGCTCACCATATTGCTTCATGGTCCACACCTCAGCATAGTTCTCATCAATCGTGTTACAATATAAACTCAGACATCCACTCATGACCGCCAAACGAAACTTGTCCCCTCTATTTAAACAATTTGGTGGTGGCATCTCCTTGAACTTCTCATCCACCATATCATAGTAAACAGTCACATATATTTGACGGAAATCCCGCTCATATAGGGAGCTTTTATTGTCATCACCGTTTGATGAACTCGACCTCAAACTCAAAGAGGAATGATATTCACTAAGATAGTAAGAATCAAAGTATCTTGGCCAAACAATTCTCCAAAAAGCAGCCGTGTGTAACACTCCATTCACAGTGACCATATCACCAAGAAAACCCGAATAAGGGAAAGGCTTAGACTGTGTCCAACGTTGAAACTTGAAGCTAAAAACCACAAAAGAATTTGTTATACTAAAGTCGAAATCAGAATCAGCGTCAATATAGATAAATATCACCTTGTAATCATCCATGGAAGAATCATAGCAAAGTCCGTACTTTTTGTATGCTCTCGTAGATGGATTCCACAGTACACACGTCTTGTAGTCAAGACCTAACAGTACTAAACCATTACAAGAACACACCATTTGAGCCCTATCAATGGCCTTCCTATACTCTTCACTTGGAAGGTATAGTTTTTCCTCTGAATCATCATCACAACCTCCATAGCCTATGGAGAAAAAATAGTTGGACAGCTTGGCCGACCGAAAGATTCTTTGACTGTTCAACTAGATTGATTCTTCAAGATGTGATTTCATGAATTGGGATCCAGAGATTATGGCTAACCATGATTTACAAACGCACCTGTGTCGCAATAGAGACTTGATGGATAGTTTCAATAAGTATACTGAATATGATATCACACGGAAGACTTGATTCTGGCTTTCTTTGGTTTCCCACCATTCTTTTACAGCTTTACTGGCTCTTCTTAGCGGTAGAAGGGTTTTAGGGCTATATATGTAAACTTTAATAATTTATGTTAAGCCATTAATTACAAATTTACATGAATCTCATATCTTAGAACTTCATGATTTTCACATATCTATAATGCATAAATAAATGGTTAGATATAAATACCTCGATTCATGATATCAAACCTTGTTGAGATTAAGTCCAATGTCTAGATCCTTTAACCACGAACTAATCTGCAACTCTGATCAACAGGCAAAGGTGGAAACTGGTTTTTCTCTCTTGGCCTTTTGCACACATAAAACTTTTACGTGTCGTATCATTAATTGTACATAATTGATGGAGTATATGCACTTTTATAAAGGCATAGAGAGGACCAGTTTTCCTTTTAGTAACATAATTCTACTTTCCATCAAAGTAGGAAATAAGAAAGGAAAACACTTCTTCAATAAGTAATTACCAAAAAGGTAATTATAAGTTAACCAAGAATAAATAATATTAATTGATATCTATTTACCTAGCCACCAAGTAATATGTCACATGTCCAAATCATGTGGGCCACAATTAAATAAATAAGCTTACATTCTCCCACTTGGCACATATAATAATTTCTATAGTGATTTAGTAAAATAGTCATTAGTGTGCACCATAAATCAGATTAATGTATTAAGTTGGTCATCATAAATACTATGGTAAACAAACTACCAATATTCTTAAATGACACAGTCCCTTCCATGTACCACAACACTAGTAACTTATTCAACATAGTCTATAAATGAGAAGTATCAATAATGATCTAATAATAATGTCTTTTTCAAAGCTATTCTTATTATCACTTACTAAAGCAATACATACATTTACATTAACTAATAGGAAATATCATAAACACATTTAATGAGCGCAAAATGTCAAATATATATAAGCACTGTTAAGCAATCCACAATTAAAAAATAATCATCATTGACTACATTCAAGACCCATTCTTTTAGCATGTTCCATAAATGTCTTGAGTGGTAGTCCATTCGTTAATGGATTGCAATCATAAGTTGTGTGCTTATATATTCAATAGACATTCGTTGTTTCTAAACATCTTCTTTAATGATAAAGTATTTCAACTTTAGAATACCTATCATTTTTCATACAAGAAGATCAACAATTGCAGCATAAATTTTCAGCAATTTGAAAATGGTACCCATAACTCCAAATCCTGAAATAAATTCAGTAATAATAAATTGTAGCCTCAAAGCATACTACAAATTAAAAAATTCATAATAGACAAAGTAATAAAAAATTACTTTACACTTTTTCATAATATTGTTCTTCCAGCCAAAAGAAACAAATAACTTATTAAAAATGTCTTCCTAAGTGTGAGCATATAATCTTTTATTACATACCAACTTGTATATCATCAAACTCCACAATATATGCATGAGTACGTTTTAGCTAACTCATTCTTTGGGATTGCATTAGGCTGAATTTATCCCCTTTTATGTATGGAGCAATACTGGTTGAATAATGTTCCATACCAAATCTTTCTATAACTCTTTAAATATATGCTTTCTGAGATAATCCTAAAAATTCACATGATCTATTATGAAATATTTTTATTACTATCACGTAGGATGCCTCATCCAAAGTTTAAAGTTCAAAATTCTTAGAGATAACTTTTAGTTTCATATAATAAACTAAAATCACTACTAGTAAATAAAATATCATCAATATATAGAATCAGAAATATAATCTTACTCCTACTAACCTTCTAGTATATATACTGATTAACAGTGTTTTTCTTAAAATCAAAAGAAATAATGGTATCATTAAACTTAATATACCATTGTTAAAAAGCTTGTTTAAATCTATATATTGGCATCTTAAGTTTACAGACCATGAATTCTTTACCCTCTAATGTGAAGCCTTCAGGTTGTTCTAGATGGACTTTCTCTTATAAACTCCCATTTATAAAAGTTGTATTCACATTCATTTAATATAACTCTAAATCATAATAAGTTACTAATGCTATGATATTTTAAAAGATTCCTTCTTAGATACTGGAGAGAAGGTTTCTTTATAATCTCTTCATTCATGGCACTAATCCATTTAGTAAAATCAGTACTGTTAATGGCTTGTGAATATGTAACCGGATCTGTATATATCTCACTATATATCAAAATCAAATTCTTGCAAATATATCACATAGTCATCCGGAATAGCAGATCTCCTTTCTCTTTGAGATCGTCTTAATGTTATTCCTTATGATTCTTCTACAATCTATTCATTGGTAATAATCTCGTTATAGAGTTGTTGATTATTCAATTGTTCTTCGTTGTTATACGGTTCAAAAACTGAAGAAACAACCATTATTTATTTTCCCTCTAATGTGAAGCTTTCAGGTTGTTCCATGTGGACTTTCTCTTATAAACTCCCATTCATAAAAGTTGTATTCACATTCATTTAATGTAACTCTAAATCATAATAAGTTACTAATACCATGATATTTTAAAAGATTCCTTCTTAGATAGTGGAGAGAAGGTTTCTTTATAATCTCTTTATTCATGACACTAATCCATTTAATAAAATTATTACTATTAATGGCTTGTGAATATATAACCGGATCCGTATATATCTCACTATATATCAAAATTAAATTCTTGCAGATATATCACATAGTCATCCGGAATAGCAGATCTCCTTTCTCTTTGAGATCGTTTTAATGTTATTCCTTATGATTCTTCTACAATCTATTCATTGGTAACAATCTAATTATAGAGTTATTGATCATTCAATTGTTCTTCGTTATATGGTTCAACAACTGTAGAAACAACTATTTCCTTAGAAGTTATGGGTAAAGAGATTTATACTCTAACTTCTGGAATGATCAAATTCTTATTTTTTATCACTCCCACTGGCTTCACCATTCTCAATGAATTTGACATTACCGGTTTCAATAATTATCGTACTATGTTTAGGATAGTAAAAATTTTACCCTTTAGATTACTTAACATCCACAATATTATGGGTAACGAGAAATTCCTAAACATACTCCTAACCAATTCTATAAGAGTACGATTATGCATTACAGTTACACGCTTTTGCTGTAGCATGTATAGCAAAGTGTATTGAGCACAAATGTTTAGGATAGTAAAACTTGTACCCTTTAGATTACTTAACATCCACAATATTATGGATAACAAGAAATTACTTAACATATTCCTAACCAATTCTATAAGAGTACGATTATGCATTATAGCTATACGCTTTTGCTGTAGCATGTATAGCAAAGTGTGTTGAGCACAAATGCCATATATTTTAAGGAGTTTAGTAAACGGTTAGAGTATTAATCCATTTCATCATACTTTCCATAATATTTACAACCTCTATATAACCTTATGATTTTCACTTTTCTATCTAGTTGTTTTTCAACCTCATTTATGTATACTTCAAGAATACCCACTGCTTGAGATTTTTTATGCAACAAATAGATATATCCATAATGTGAAAAATCAACTATAAAGATGATAAAATACTTTTCTCCTCCAAAAGATGGAACATCAGAAGGTCTACAAATGTCTGTATGAATTATTTCAAGAAGCTCTGGACTTCTTGTGGCTCATTTTTCTGTGTGTTTGATTTATTTACCCTTAATACAATCTACACACACACACCAAAATCAGTAAAGTTTAGATTCAGAAAAATCACATCCTTTACTAATTTTCCTAACCTTTTACTAGATATTGACCTAGTCTTTTATGCCACAAGAAAGATAAATTTTTTATTAATTGAGCTATCCTTAATTCTAACATTATGATGCAAGATCAAAAGATTTTTTTAATAAATAAACTATCAAGTTTGAATTTACAGAAATCATCAACAATAATACCATAACTCACAAATTAGAATTTCTTGAATAAACATCATTATCAAATTTAAATGAAAAACCATTAACAAAAAATTTTGAAATAAAATCAAATTATAGGAAATTGAATAAATATAAAAAGTTTAAAATAATTTAAATAAAATCCATTATCTAATATTAAACATAATGTCATAATAGTTTCAACAAAACTTTTTCCCAATTATCATAAATAAGAAATTTTTATTTGAATTTGTGGTTTAGGCCATAAAAAATTCTTGCATATCTATTAGAAACATAAATATTAATACTTAAGTCAACCTATCATATATTAGAAAGAATTTCAATAAGTAATTCGAAATATACAAAAGCCAAAAACTTACCATTCTTTTTCGAATCATTCTTTATATTCCATGTAATCTTTCTAAAAGTGTTCAATACACTAATGACACTTTTACATTATTACATTCCTTTCTTTTAGTAGATTGACTTAAATATTTTAATTTTGGGAGTTGCCCACTTAATGTTTTTTCAGGCTTATTCCCAAATTTCTTTCTAACTTCTTGGGTCATGAGATGAACATAATGATTACCTTGCTACTTAAGCTTTGTCTCCTCCCAAATTAACATAATTATCAATTCTTTCACTTTCCACTTATCTTAATAGTGTTAATTTGAAATGACATATACTGAGTAAACAAAAAATTGTGAATAT